GAAGATGTTGAAGCATGAGATATGTTTCAGCTTGTTGGAATAATTTGTTCACTTGCTGCAATGTTTTAATTACTCTATATTTGTAGTTGATTTGTAATTAGTGTTAGAAATGATCTTTGTACTAGTTCCATTTCATCCCCTCCCTGATTCCTTCAAGTGTTAAGTGTTCAAGTCCATTGAAGAGTTGTAAAATATTTAAATGCTGGTAGTATAAACTGATCTGCAGTCCATAGTAGTTAAAGGTAGTAGGCGATTCGAGATTCATCTGGTTCTATCACTGATTCAGTGTGTGTGAACTGGATATTTCTCTAATAGTTTGGCCAAGTAGTATAATTGAACTTATATTGTTCCTATAACTTAAGCTGTAGTGGTAATGACTCATTTCAGGTGCGTTTTTTCATAGTTTTTCCACCATGCTTTAAGGGCTAGTTTAGATTTCAGATTTGGAATATTGCATAATCCAGAAATGCTTGTAGGATTGATATATATGTTCATGCTAGTTTTAATTTTGAGAACACCTGACTAGAATTTATGTATCTTCGAATAGCTTCCAGCACGCCTGGGTTTCCTTCATGTTCATATGGTCATGTGTAACGTGTCTTTATGTTGTTAAAAGATGTTGCCAGTTTCGTTCCTGAATTCGAGAACAAGAGCTAATTGAAAGTTGCTATGAATTTGATTGCGTCAACTTAAATTGCTCCGTTTGCTAGTAGGCTGTTGATGAGTATTTAGGTTGGCTGGGCTTGTTATAGTTTTAGGAAACTGTTAGTTTGAGCCTATTTAACAAGTAAACTGTTGAGACAACAATGTTATGTGGCAGGTCCATTTCGCGATAATATGCTTTTGGCCCATCCCTTCTTTAATGACAAAGCTGATTACTTCCTTACTTCCATTTCGCGATAATATGCTGTTACCCCTAAAGCTCTCATGTCTTGCAATAATCTTAGAGTAGTTTAAGAAAAATACCTTATAAACATCCGTAGTTTGTCTTAGTTGAGTAACGCCCTTTAGGATAGTTCGAGGTGCAACGTGCCAAATAAAAATGACAATTGCGGGGCCCTCAATAAATGCTATAAAATACTTAGACTTCGGGATGAGCCGTTTTAGCGAATTTCACGGCTTTCCCCAAAGATAATAACACGTTAGCCTCTTTAAGCGCGTCTTTTAATAACATTTACCTTCCTAAAAGTGGGTGCACATTTATATGACCCAAATCCAAATCTCAACGAAGTCAAAATGTGTTAACAATCACGGGTGCACTGGTGCGACGTGGTTCGAGATGCATTTTCACGACGTTGCAATTCTATTAAAAATAAAAAATAATGAAAGCGGTTTACTAATAAAAGCATAGGTTAGAATATGTTTTAAAAATCAGATAAGAGTAAATACAACAGTTGAGCGACCGTGCTAGAACCACGGAATCCGGGAGTGCCTAACACTTTCTCCCGGGTTAACAGCATTCCTTACTCGGAGTTCTGGTTCGCGGACTGTTAACAGAGTCATAATTTCCTCGGATCGGGATTCAAACGGTGACTTGGGACACCATTAATCTCCCAAGTGGCGACTCTGAATATTAATAGTAAATCCCGTTCCGACTGTCCTTTAATTGAAAAAACTCCTTTGCGCCCTCACAGGTGTAGCGAAAAAGGAGGTGTGACAACATGGAGACAACCAGTCCATACCCAAGATCACATAGAAATCAACCTCACTAAGCAACAAGAGATCAACTCTAGTCTTTAATGCCCCAATTGTCACTATACACAACCGATATACACGGTCCACAACAATAGTATCGCCAACCGGCATAGATACATGAACAGATGCAACTAGAGACTCGCGGGGCATATCCAGTAATGAGCAAAAATACGATGATACATACGAATAAGTGAAACCAGGGTCAAATAATATAGAGGCATCCATGTGGCAAACTGAGACAATACATGTGATCACTGCATCTGAAGCAATGGCATCTGGTCTGGCGGGAAGAGCGTAGAATCGGCCCTGGCCGCCACCTGATCGGCCTCCCCCTCTAGGGTTACCTCTAGATGATTGAGCCTTACCCCCAGCTGGCTGAGCGGGTGGTATAGCTGCTGGTGCTGGTGCCATCAATCGAGAACTCTGCTGTGGGGTCCCACTCAACAACCTAGGGCAATCTCTCTTGATATGACCAAGATCTCCGCACTCTAAACGACCCCTCTTTTGACGAAAATGCTGCTCCTGATACCCCGAGGAACTACCCATAGAAACCTAAGCAGACGAGGCATGGTGAGAACTCTGCGATGTTAGTGCGCTGAATAAAGACTAGCCTGAGTGAGCACTATAAGAACCGTGGCTAACTGATGCACCACGATGAGTTGGTCGAGCCGTCTGAGCATGCTTGTAAGGACAACCCCTACCGTGGAGGAATTGACCCCCGTAAGGAACACCACCAAAACCACCCGATCCACGAGGCCTCTTGGCCTCCCTCTAATCCAGCTCCTGGCTGCGGACTATATGCCGAGCAATATCGACCACCTCATCAAAAGTAGCACCATATACCCTCTCGAGTCATAAGCAACCGCAACTGATATGTGAGGCCATCAATGAACCTTCTGATCTTCTCCTTATCAGTAGGAACGATCTAAATCGCATGAAGGGCCAACTCAGAAAACCTCATCTCGTACTGCATCACAGACATATCATCCTAACGTAACTGCTCAAACTCTCTGCGCAGCTCCTCTTTATGAGACTGCGGCACGAACTTCTCCAAGAAGAGAACAGAGAACTCCTGCCATGTAAGTGGTGCTGCATCAACCGACCTGCACCTCTCATAAGCCTCCCACCATCTGAAGGCAGCCCTAGAAAACTGGATAGTGAAGGAGACCTCATTGGTCTCTAAAATACCTGTTGTACGGAAAATCCTCTAACACTTGTCCAAGAAACCATGGGCATCCTCCAACTCTGCCCCACTGAAAGATGGAGGCTGGAGCCTTCCCAACCTTTTCAATCTCTGCTTCTCATCATCAGTCATAGCACATAGGCCTGAGCAGCTGCAACCAGCTGGGCTGGTAGTGCCCCCGGTGTCTGGAGTCCCTGCATCACCTGCTTTGGTGTGCCGACAGCGGGAGTCTGAGTACCTTCCCCAGCGTGAGAAGTGGCTACTGTGGCTAGAACTGCAATCGCTGATCTCGTCCAAGTCACACCTCTATTTAAGGTTGTATGAAGATGTAGCTGAAGAAGTCGACCACTTATCTCCTCTATTAGCATTTTCTATACTTTTGAACAGTGTCCAACCAGTTCTTTCTGGTAAGTTACTTGATTCATATGTTAAATCTATGAAGTAGTAAACATAAACAGTTAAACCTATTTATAACAGCCTCATTTTTTCTGATATATTTTGGCCGCTATAGTGAAGTGTTGTTATAAAGAATATATATTATAATATAACATAAAAATGGGTTCTGAGAAAAACTTGGCTTTTATAGTAAATGATTATTATATAGAGATGTTATAGAAAGGTCTGGCTGTATGTACACATAATTTCCAAGATTTGATGTCACAACTTTAAGATTTCATGTTACAGGTGTAGCTGTTGGAGCTGGATGGCAGAGCATAGTAGCATATGTTAACATTGGCTGTTACTANAGGAACGATCTAAATCGCATGAAGGGCCAACTCAGAAAAACCTCATCTCGTACTGCATCACAGACATATCATCCTAACGTAACTGCTCAAACTCTCTGCGCAGCTCCTCTTTATGAGACTGCGGCACGAACTTCTCCAAGAAGAGAACAGAGAACTCCTGCCATGTAAGTGGTGCTGCATCAACCGACCTGCACCTCTCATAAGCCTCCCACCATCTGAAGGCAGCCCTAGAAAACTGGATAGTGAAGGAGACCTCATTGGTCTCTAAAATACCTGTTGTACGGAAAATCCTCTAACACTTGTCCAAGAAACCATGGGCATCCTCCAACTCTGCCCCACTGAAAGATGGAGGCTGGAGCCTTCCCAACCTTTTCAATCTCTGCTTCTCATCATCAGTCATAGCACATAGGCCTGAGCAGCTGCAACCAGCTGGGCTGGTAGTGCCCCCGGTGTCTGGAGTCCCTGCATCACCTGCTTTGGTGTGCCGACAGCGGGAGTCTGAGTACCTTCCCCAGCGTGAGAAGTGGCTACTGTGGCTAGAACTGCAATCGCTGATCTCGTCCAAGTCACACCTCTATTTAAGGTTGTGAAACGGTCAATGCAATAGTAATACCCAATAAAGAGTCGAGGTCGAATTCCACAGGGAGATATGAATGGGACTTAGGAGTATATATTATAGTGAATGAGCTTGAATTATCTCCAATTGCACTTCCACAATATTGGGTTGTTTTTAAGTCTAATGTAAACTAAGATTACCAACTAAGAATTGAATCTAGGAAATTGTATTTTGTTGTTTTTCAAATGATATAAAAGGCCTAGGGATATGACCTTCGCCTAGGTGTTTGCCTAATAGGTTGTAAACTTTAAAGCTTGTTTTATTGGTCAGGGTGTATTATAGCCATCAACACTCGAGTACCCACTCAATACCTCTCGGTCAGAGAGTGATTTTGCCCAAATTTGGCTTTCTCAAGTCCAAATGGGTATTGAACAAAACGGTTGATACAAAGCTCAAGTTGGGTTTTACTATATCTAGGTTCAACCTTTTAATTGGACTTATCAATCTCTCGATTGACCCAATTTCTTGTTAGCCAAGTTTGTCACACCTCCTTTTTCACACCCCCGCAAAGGGGTATAAGGGAGTTTTTCCAATTTAAGTGACAATCGAAACGGGATTAATATTTAAGATCAGAGTCGCTACTTGGGATAGTTAATGGTGTCCCAAGTCACCGGTTTAGAATCCCGAATCGAGGAGATTTGACTCTGTTTTAATGTCTACGAAACATAGAAATCCGGGTAAGGAATTTTGTTAACCCGGGAGAAGGTGTTAGACATTCCCGAGTTCCGTGGTTCTAGCACGGTCGCTTTGATCATACTTGGCTCATTAAAATTGTCTAATTACTTATTTTAGAACCTATGTGCATTTGGTAAAATTACTTGCTTCCAAAATGATGGTTAAAGTTTTTAAGAAAAAACTCTAATCAACCTGCTTTCTCTATCCTAACAAGGTGATTAGAAACCAGAAATATACCATCTCTTAGGAATATTACCTTGTAACAATCAATAATTTCACACCACAAAGAAGAAACGTTTTTCACTATTATTACCTGTAACAATCAATTACAGATTTGTCGTGATTACGAGAGTAAAGAAACTATTGGCATACCCTACCTGAATTCTTTAATCTCTGGAGTTCTTATGTTAACAGGCCTGGAATGCTGTGACTAGTCACAGCTATCCAATTTCATTTCAAGCTCATGGCAATAACCCATTGAAACTAAAGCTGTATAGGGCTAGCGAAAGTTTAAGAGAAGCATTTACAGCACTAATTACCAAACTAAACTATGACAAATTATACTAATGAGAACAGATATACAGCACACACCATTCTCAGAAAGCAGCAATTTTGTTAATATAACCAGATGAACAAAGAAATGCAAGTATTAGGCCTACTTTACCTTTTAGTAAGACAAGTGAATGGCGCATACCACAAGCAATTTGCTCGACATGCTTACTCTTGAAGTGCAGCACTTGTACAGGAGAACATCTTGAGACATAATCCCCATGCCCAAGCTGACCAAATGAACCATCTCCACAAGTGAATACGTAACCAGTGTCTGATAATAGTTAAAAATTTACACTCAAAGACAAGTTAAAAGAGGTATTCAGCTAAACAAGAACCATCTCCACAAGTGAATACCACAATTATTATTGCAGCAACAGAACATAAAACATTCATGAATATATCAAACCAAAAAGTTGTACAGCTACTCTAGATGACAACAAAAGTTCATATCATCTGTTCCGCAAAAGCTTTCAATTACCATGAAGAAAAGAACTTTAGGAATAACCTAGTACATAAATAGTTCCTCGCAGAATGGCTCTAACTAGGATATACGGAATTCTGCTTTTCGTCATCTGCACATTTAATATGCACCAAGCATAAATGAATTAACTTTTAACTAGAGATGTCGTGAAACATAATTGAAATCTCAATGCATGAACTTTCAATTTCAACAGAACTAATAATATCTAAATAAGGGCTACTAATGAGTAACTTGAAGTAAAGTATTCCGGAAGCAAAAACCTTATAGTATGAACAAGTATAATCCAATCTCAGATAAGATTTACAGCTGAAGCAGAAAGAAAGAAACCTGACACAAATCCTGAGTGATTCCATCCAGCAGAAGCATGTGTAATAAAGACGCCTTCCAAAGATTCCACATACTTTGGGTGTAAGCAGTTAACCATCTTTCCATGACCTAACTGACCAGATGTACCCCTCCCCCATGTTAGCACTCTTCCACCTGCAAAACTGTATCGGTAAAAAATATACCAAACACGTGGCAGGTACAGGATTCAACATGTGGCAAGCAAATTAAGGTTATCATAGTCAACTTCAAGTCAGCCGGAGTAGTCCAGACGAAGACTGAACACCGATGAGCTGATCAAGGGATCACTCTTCCCGTACAAGATCAAATATGGAACGATTCCTCCAGATGGTCTGAAGCAGCATCCGGAGAGTTATCACCCTTTGAACGGCAATTTTGAGATATCTGCGATCCCCCATTAAACACCATCAGCAGTTACAAGTCAATCATCATAATTATCAGTAATGCCTGCAACGTGTAGGAGTGATTCTAGGGAACGGTTTTGACAAGCTCATCCTATAAATACCCCTCTTCCCCACATCGTATCCCATTCTAACTCTGATATACACGATATTATACTGAAATTATTACTACAGCTTTCCTAATCATCTCCACTGTTCCTCCACCTTCGTCCATTGAAGATTATTCAATAACAATCTTTTTCTCTCATTCTTCATTAATTTGATTATTTTAGCTACATCCTTATTTCCATTACACTGTTTTTCATCAGCAAGGGTTTTAGTTATCTAGGTTTAATCAAGTTGCTTGTGGCCTAATTCCATAAATTTAATTACTTAATCTAATAACCAGATTTTATGTTAAACAAAAACCCCAACAAACTGTGCCTTTTTTCCTTTGAAAAGTAAAAATCTTTCCATTGAATCTCAAACCAAGATGGTATCTTTACACAACAAGCTTTTGTAAAAGTTCAAAATTCTCCATTGGTTCTCACATCAAAATGGTGTCATCTGAACCCCATCAACTTTTAAAAGAAATTCCATTGAAGAGCTCACTCCAAATAGGTGTCATCTGTACAGCAAAACCCTATCAAGTTATTCTTTTATAAAAAGTGAAAAATCAATTCATTGAATCTCAAACCAAAAAGGTGAAATCTTAACTGCAAAAACTTAAACCCCATCAAGTTAAAAACAAATTACAAGGAAATAAATACACAGAACAAAAGAAAAATGCAAATTGGAGAGTAGATAAAAGTGCAGACCAGGAGTGAGGGCAATGACATGGGCACCACCACAGGAAAGATAAGAGATGGGACCAAAAGAAGAGAGAGAATGAATGAGTTGAGGTTGGTGCTCATCTTGGAGTTTTCCTGTTCCTAATTGTCCCTCTGTTCCTGCTCCCCAGCTCCATATTTCTTCTTTTACAAACCCTTCTTCTTCTTGTTCTATAACTCTTTCTGTTTCTTCCATCATTGTGGACATTTGACGGCTTTGTTCCTCTCTTCTCTCTTTTTATTATTGGAATGGAACTTGTTTGCCAACTTTGATTACCTTTCCAGGTTCTATATTCACATTTGAGTACCATGGTCAAAATATTTTAATTTGTAGTGTATACTATATTCAAATACGATATTTGGAATTGGGAGTACTATTAGTTATGAAAATCTTTTATCATAAATTTTTTCTTTGAAAATATTTTCAAATATATAGTATAGTATTCAAAGAAAAAGTAGTCGGACTCTAAATTGCCATTATTGCTCAATTTTATCTTTATTGCTTGGTCTATTTATATCATTGGCGTTAACAAATCATTTACTATTTGCTCTTACCATTAACGAAATTTTATGTGAAATGAGTGAATTCTCATAGAAAAAGTTCAAATTTACCCCTCAAATTTTTTATTACAACAACAACAATAACAACAACCCAGTAAAATTTCAATGGGGTCTGGGGAGGGTACTGTGTATGCAGACCTTATCCCTACCCCGAAGGAGTAGAGAGGCTGTTTCCGGAAGACCCTCGGCTCAAGAAAACAAAAATGAATATCACCACAAAAATCATAGGAAAAATAGGAACAATATGAAATCTAGAAGAAAGATGCAAAGCAAAAGCGAAAGTTAATCAAAAGATCCTGTATTGAAAAGCGAAATAGTAAGACACAAACTATCTTTGACAAAAAACTCTACCAGACTAGTCTTACAAATTTTTTATTATGATTCAAAATTATCTACGGCTAGAGCTTTGTTATGGATCAAGGGCGAAAACGAGACTTTTCCTAACAGTATGATCTTATTAAACCAAAAGTTTAATGAACGATATATTTGCTTAATTTCAACTAGTACACGATAAATTTGACCTTTTTTCCCTTTTTTAAATTTATCTGAGTTTATTGAGATTGAAAATTATCTTGAATTACCGACATTAAAGTATATCCTATGGCAATTTATTCAGTTGTGGGAGGAGTATAAAACTACTAAACTATTTTCAGGCAGACTAATCAAATAGCGAAAAGTATATTACGAATATAAAGTTGTTGAAGATTTTTCCTTACAATAATTAATAAGATTCTATAGAATAATTATAGTTCGTATGAGATCAAAAATAGCCTCTTGTTAAATTGAAATGGAAGTGATGAAATTGAGAACTGGCGAGAGTTTTATTCTTGCGTTTTTTTCTAACCACAAGGTGTCAACAAACTTCCTAACCAATTTTTATAAATTAATTGGCTTTACTTTTTGTACGCATGTAGTTTCAATGAAGAATATCAAAGAAACCAGAAACCAATGCTAGCTCCTTGACTAAAATAGAACAGATTTCACTCCAAGTCAAGATACCAAGTTTAAGTATATCATGGAGACCACCCAACGATTCTGGTTGGATTGTAACTACTCCTCCATTCTTGACCAGAAATCTCGGGTTCAAGCCCTCCATTCTTGACCAGAAATCTCGGGTTCAAGCCCAGAGAATGAAATTGTCTTTGTAAAAAGCACCTTACTCCCAAAAATAAATAAGAGATTCAAATAAAATCTCGAGCATTGAAGATATACCTGCATTATCTGGAATTCTTGATCAGTGACAAAAATGGAATATCCAGGCTCCTCTTGACTTCTAAACAAGATTACTACACTCATTAACAACAAAGATTGGCCTAAAGCTGAGAACTTATTGGACATTCATTCGAAGACTTGGGAACTCATCAAGAAATGTGAAGGTTGCTTAAAGCCGATCAACCAAAAAGAATCAACTAGTTTAGTTTTGGTCTGAGTAGGCTTATAATAAGGACTACCCTAGCCCTGGAACTGGCCTGGCCGTCCTTTGTTTTTCTGGAATCAGCAAAAAACAGCTCTCCTGCAACTATGTAACTAACATTTGGCTTAAGATAATCCCAAAATAGGAGTACTCCATGGTTGAAGTGAAGTTCTTATGTTGAAATTTAGCAACAATACCACTTGCAGCTGAGGATTTCTCAGCACGAAAAGAAGCATCAGTGTTCGTTTATGCTTTATACAATCAGCTGAAGAAGATTGCACGGGCAAAGTGCTGTTTGTTAATCTCTGAAAATACATAGCAATCAACGCAGCTTTGTCGAGAGGAAGTACCTCTTCCACATGAATCCCCCTAGATGTCCAATCCTCCCTACTTTTGCGTAGATACCACACAATGACATTCTTCTTCTTTTTCCTATAAAGTAACATCAATTTCTATTTTATTTTGATAATAATGGTGTATGTGCCAGCTTGCGTGCAATTTAGTAGTTCCACCAAGTACCTGCTACCTCCCACTAGCACAGGTACCAGGTAACTCTATCCACCAAAACCTATGAAAATGGAAAGAAATCATCTAGTTCTTTTGCATCTGCTAGTTTCCCAAGGTATTCTATCTAATGACATTATGATCATACTAAGAGCTATCAGTTCACTCTCATTCTTGCTAGAAAAAGATTGAGCCAATAAAAGCATCAACACACTTATCCATCTCCAATCAGTCAAGTTCTAGAGGTTATTATGTCACAAATTTATAGAATAAGTACTCCATAAACCCCTCAGCCTCACCACAACAGGGTCAAATAACATCAACATCCGTTGTTCTCTCACATACTCATGTCTTAGAGTTGACGTGATATTTACTCAAAGTTTTAATTTTTTAACCATGACACCATTCCTTATCCCTGGTTCTCTGGTTCAATCCCAGAGAATGCCTTATACAATCATACCCCTGTTGAGCAAAGGACGTACAGTGATTTACCTGAATATTCCTCTGATTGATGGTAACGCAACTCCTTATACGCAAAATTCTGCAAAAGATCAATAGCAATCTGCAGCATAACAGAGCCAGTCAGATTAGATATTCCTCTTTTCAAGTTATCTTGCAATGCACCCTCCCAGCTAAATTGGTACAGTTGCTGCAGGATTCTCTGGAATAAAACACTGAAAGGATCATAAAACATTTATACTTGAAACAAAATGACGTTTCTTCCTATGAAAAAGAATTTTTTTTTACCTAACTTGCAACACAGCAAGAAGTTGGGAGGGGGAGGCCTATATAGAACCCAAAAAAAAAACCTGTAATCAAGCATCATCTTCATTTGCATCATATGATACTGTTCAGCAAATGAGTATGAAACTATGAGAAAGCGGTAGTTGCTAGGATTCAAGATGGCCCTCTTATCATTTTTTAGTGTATAACATAAAGAACAAAATCAACTGCTTCGACTCTCCTAAGCACACAAAATATAACTGCTTCGACTCTCCTAAGCACACAATAACAAACCTCTGATTCAACATTTACAGACATCATGCAGACTCTCATAACTTATCAATAAGGTAGGGTGCAACAACATTTTGTCATAGTCAGCTTCAAAATAGCAAGGTCTCAAGGCGCCATCAAGAATACCATCAGTATGTACCAAATAAGATAATTAACACAGGGTGAATTAGCCATACAAGATTATGTAGAAAGTGGCTGCTTGTTGCAAACTGCACCTGCCTTTTTATATATGACACAAGCTAAAAGCCACGACAGGAAAAGCGGATTCTTCTACATCCCCGTTGCAGCTGGACAATCCAAAATATATAATGTTAAGCTCATCAGCGCTGCCAACTTCTTCCAAGTTGTATGCTGCAAGTACAAGTATTGGGGAACCCAAGAATAGTAACAACATCTATCTTTTGGACAAAATCCAAATCAAGGAACACTATCTTATTTGCTAAGACAGAAGCACATATGAATTACATACTCAAATAAAAAAATCTTACGTACATGATTATTATCTAATGCTTGTATTACACAGAGAAGGAAAAACAAACAAGATCTGAACCTTACTGAAAACACATTTAGAACTGAAAATCACCCCAACTAATCTGCAATAAAAACTCAGCCTTTTACCTAACCTCATAAATAAAAGCTCTAATATTACTTGAGAAAGCCATATCGCTAATGTTACAAGTGAGGCAATCCCTCATTAACCATGACCATAAGTTACAGAATATCATCATAGGCAACAATTTCCCTACCCTTGTACGGCTCAACCAGCCTTGTACTAACATGTCCACGACCATTATCGCCAGCATTATCAGGCTCACCCAGCCTTGTACTAACATGTCCACGACCATTATTGCCAGCATTATCATTATCCTCGTCTTTGGGGTTCACTATTGCTGATCCCAGTCTGTTACCTCTCCCGTGCTTACTTAATGGAATCTCGGCTCTAACTAGCTTAGATGCAACCGTTGATGTGGATAGATCATCCTTTCGCATCACGCCTTCCTTCCATTGTGGGATATGGTCAGTTGCCCATATTACCTGTACCTGTCATCTCCAACAAAATTAAAGTAAAAAATATATATCAGCTCTCAATTCTACTACCTCTATACACTGTCACTGTAAAAAAAATTCAAAACTGTCAGGTCACGAATTTCAGATCCGAGATGGTAATTAGCATGCTACAACCTGTTAAACTATACTTATTGTGCAAAAACTACTTACATAGTCTATGTATAATATTAAAATCCATACAATTATACCAACTAAAGTGATACTCACATACCAAAATTTGTAGTCTAAAAAAAAAAGCAAGAATTTAACACCAAAAAAGTTGCAAACTTGGCAAGAATACTATTAGATGCGCAAAAACTACTTACATTGTCCATATATATAATTAAATCAACACAATTATGCCAAAAAATGTGATACCCACATACCAAAATTCTTGGCCAAGCTGGGACTTAGTATAAATTATCGAACCATGGATTCAACTAGACATCTTAATATCAAAAGATCAAAAAACACCAATGAAGTTGCAATCTTGGCAAGAATTTCTACTATTAGAAGATATAACTTAAGAGAAAAAGAGTGCATACTGGTTTGGAGTGGAGAGTAATGGGGAAAGAGGAATCTACAGCAGCATTAACAGCAGACTGAGCAGAATCATAGGAACGGAAAGTGATGTAAGCGAGACCATTGGGGTCTATACGGGTGCGAGAGATGGAACCATAAATCTCAAAACGAGATTTAAGGTCAAGTACTGAGCAATCAGTAGGAACCCCAATAACTACCACACCACCGGGCTGCTGCTTGGTGGTGGAAGAGGAGGTGTTTTCCGGTAAAGGGTCATCGGAGACGGCGTCGGTAGGTGGAGGACGGCGGCGCTTGGGGAAGGAGTAAGGGACGTGGCGAGGGAAGTGGGTTCTGTCTCTCTTGCGGCCCATGATTTTTGGGTTCTACTTGGACTTCGTAGTGTACAAGTTTAAGCTGCTATGAGAAGTACCAAAGATATTTGGACTATTTATTCCTTTTGGGATTAGTTATTTAATTAGCTAAGTTTGATACCTTATTTATTTTAAATAAAT